TATAAAATTATTTATCCTCATTTACCCACAATTAGCACTTCAAGTAAAAAAATTAGATATGTAACAAGAGAATGCATTTCAACATTATTTTTACAAACATTGTTATTTATAATTATATATATATAGAAATGTGTTAAATTAATTATTCATTCGGACATCATTTATTTAAATATTTTAAATATCTATTTTCAAATATTTCAAGTATGTATTTTCAAATATTTCAAGTATTTCAAATATCTATTTTCAAATATTTCAAGTATTTCAAGTATCTATTTTCAAATATTTCAAATATTTCAAATATTTCAAATACCTATTTCAAATATTTCAGATATTTATTTTCAAATATTTCAAATATTTATTTTTGAATATTTATTCAGACATTGTAAAACATTGTCTTCCTCACACATGTTTCATCTAGCACGAAAATATCTGTAACCACCTAACAAAGATGGATTACAATCCGAACACGTTTGCTTGGTTTCCATAGCAACCCGTAAAACGCGCGAACCTGGGGGATCGTAGCGACTTAAAGGTTATGTGTTCTCGTCGAGTGAAAAGTCGACTACCAGTGCATTGGCATTTTCGTTAGCACAGTTATCACACTGTTACCCTCCACCCCTTGGAACGACAGAACGTGGCATGTTAAAGGGCGAGAAATTTGTAAGCAAATTTTATTGTCGTAATTATTGTGCGTGGCTCATTTGAAATTAGAGTAATAGAATTCTTGCAAGATGGAGAATATTATTTTTATATATTGATAGGTACGTCATAGGAATTTTGATGGCAATGGTTTTTAGGTAATCTTGAGAATTAATTAATAATAAATTTGAGAATTAATCAATTGAGCATGAATGTAAGAATTAATTAATAGATCATGAATTTAAGAATTAATTAATTAATAATGAATTTAAGAATTAATCAATTGAGCATGAACCTAAGAATTAATTAATTGATAATGTATTTAAGAATTAATCAATTGGGCATGAACCTAAGAATTAATCAATTGAGCATGAACCTAAGAATTAATTAATTGATCATGAATTTAAGAATTAATCAATTAATTATCAATTTAGGAATTAACCAATTGATCACAAATTTAGGAATTAATTATATATAATTTTATTAATTAATAATATTATATTTCCTAATAATCTTGTTACTTTTATTTTTAAACAAATGTATAATACCCCTCTTTATCACGTCAATCACCATAACAATCACAATAATAATCATCATGACAATTATTATTATGACAATCACCATGACAATCATCATAATAATCACCATGATAATCACAATGGTAATCATCATAACAGTCACCATAGCAATTACCATAATAATCATCATGACAATCACCATGACAATCACCATAATAATCATTATGACAATCACCACAGCAATCACCATAACGATTACAATAACAATCATCATGGCGATCACTACTACGACAATCACCATAACAATCATCACGTGATTTTGCATCACAACGAAAACGAAAAACTTTCGCTCGTATTCCAGGCTTTTCATTTGTCCAGAATAATCGAATAGCGACTGGCGAGGTGTACCGAGTATAAACGGGAACTTAATCGACGTCGATCAAGCTAAGCCTTATCGAAGCCGCTCCTTCATCACTTTAATCAACCCCCTTCTCTTCTCTCACCCCAGATATAGAAGCGACACCGAGCACGACGATACAGTGTCTTGTGCATACAGTCGTTGTACACGGGCATCAATGGTGCCTGTATTCTTCCGACAAGTACCTGCGTTCTGTGTCTCGTACGCTGACACCTCCTTTAACAAACGTTTGCTCAATGAGGTTCCTCGGTAACTGGTACGAAGGAAAGTTAAAATTGTTCGTTCTGAAGTTCGACATTAGTCTTCTCGAGTAGAGTGAGGCTCGGTTAAATTTTACAATTTTTGGAGTATACAGTAAGACTCGGTTAAATTTTACAATTTTTGGAGTCTACAGTGGGGCTCGGTTAAATTTTACAATTTTTAGAGTCTACAGTGTGCGGCTCGGTTAAATTTTACAGTTTTGGACATCTATAGTGAAATTTAATCGAGCAGAAGAAATGAACATTTACTTGGTAACTGGAACGAAGGAAAGTTAAAATTGTTCGTTCTAACGTTTGACGTTAGTCTTCCCGAGTATAGTGAGGCTCGGTTAACTTTTACAACTTTGGCAGAAAAGCAGGAGGAAACTATTTACTTCTAGGAACTGAATTGAGCGTAGACCGACGAAGGCAGAGAATTGATACAGTGAGTGAAAGTGAGATAGACAGTCCTCAGCGTCGA